GGGCTCAGTGCCTGTAGCTCAAGCGGCTAAGGTGCCAGCCACATACATACACCAGAGGTGGTGGGTTCAAATCCAACCCAGGTCTGCCAAACAACAATGACAACTACAACCAAAAAATAGCCAGGCATTGTGGCGGGTGACTATAGTTCTAGCTACTTGGGAGGGTGAGGCAAGAGAATCACTCAAGCCCAGGAGTTGGAGGTTGCTGTGAGCTATGATGCCACAGCACTCTATCCAGGCCAACAGCTTGAGGCTCTGTTTCAAAAAAAAGAACACATCTCACCAAAAAATTATAAAGGGGCTACCTCAAGGTAGTACATGTCCTATCACAGGGGTCCTCAAACTTTTTAAACAGGGGGCCAGTTCACTGTCCCTCAGACCGCTGGAGGGCTAGACTGCGGGTCCCGAGACAAGTTGGCTGCCAAGCAGGACAGGCAGCATTAGCAAAAACACCCAGCGGGCCGGATAAATGTCCTAAGTGGGCCGCATGTGGCCAGTGGGCATAGTTTGAGGATGCCTGTCCTATCACATACATTCAACTAGAGGCTAAAGGTCTACATTATGAGAGTTATTACAGCAGGAAGTCAAGTACTGGTCAAGAACTTGGACTAGACAGCCATCAGATTCCTTCTGACTCAGAAATTTTATGGATCTATTTCATACCTTGTAACGATGATTTTTATGAACACTATTCTGGAAGCAGTCCATACAGAGTACACATGTTGGATCAATTGCACAGTCCCTGAAAAAGATCAAAAATTAGATTCCAAAATAGAGATGGTTACCGCTGATACTTAACGTATGACTATTACACGATGTGAATGAGTTTCCTGTATGTTTAACTAATTGAATATGGAAATGTCTCAAAAACTAAATTCCAAAAGTGTTTTGAACAAATATATACAGTCAGCATAATTTTAGCCTCATTCTACCCATATTTGAACATGTAATTTTAAATGTTTAGCTTGAAAGCAACTATTCTCATGAAGAACGAAAAGCCTAAAGCCTTTTGTCCAGTTTCTGTACAACTGGCCTCTTCTATTTAACTAAATTTCTACTATTCCTATAAGTCTACAATTGTGAAGTCCAAAAAGGCCTGAAGCCAAAAGGTTTTTGTTTTTTTTGTTTGTTTGTTTTGTAGGTTTGGCACTAAATCTCACTTGGAGGCAAAATGACCTGACATGGCATAAAACTATAGGCTTTATACCACTTACTATAAATATTCATACCCGTCTCACAGAAATACTATGTTTGATTACAGGTAGGTGCCCTGACTCTATGGGGAAGTATTCAGAATTGTGAAATGTATATGGCTCCAAGAGTTTCAAGTAAGAGTATGTGGACCACATTACAAACAAGGCAAAAATCTATCATTTATATGGTTTTGGAGAACAGTAAGAACAAGTGACAGAACTATTTAAGTCATTATTCAAGAAGAAGCTGTTACTAGCAAAACCAGAATTATAAGTATATAAAAGGAAGTTAATTAAGTAGGACTAAATATTATCATCAACAGTAATAAAGAAATGTACCTATATCATGAAATAGGTACAAAATACCAATACTGTAATTATAACCAATCCTGTAAATTTCTAATTCTTACCTACAAGAATATGTTGTCTCTCCACTTTTGAAAACCTTCCCACAAAGCTGAAATGCTCCACTGTGCTTCAATCTCTCTAAACAAATATCTGGATCTTCCCCAAATAAGTACCATTCCAATGGAGTGAATATTGACATTTGCACATTCTCTTCCTGCTTTTCCAAGTCTGGGTCCATTTCAGCAAAATAAATTTCTGGCACCAATTGTGCCAAATGATGTAAGAATGCAGTATAAAAATCAATTTGCTGATCCCACCACTGAAAGAAAAGATGATAAAGATTAGACTTTCTCACAAGTTCCTTCTTAACAATCTAGGGGTATAAGTAATGGCATAATTCTATAATTTCAAAGTCATTTACAATATAATTTGCCCTTCACGAATACAAATATAATACGTTCAGTAAAACTTTAGTCTCATTTAACCCATAATTGAATGTGTAAGTCTGGATGTTTGGTTTTAAACCGACTGTTCTCCTAAGGAATGGAAAATCTAAAGCTTTCTGTCAGGTTTCCATACAAACGGCCACTAAATTTCAACTGCTCCTGTAAGTCTACAATTGTGAAGTCCAAAAAGCCCTGAAAGATGGTGATTCAAAAAGAAATTAGGTTATTTTCAAAAACCTAACCTTGGAAATAAGCAGTTACCCACATACCACAGATATTGGGGGGAAAAAATAGCTGTAGTAGATGAGAATTACCCTTCCCTTCCGGAATGGCTGGGTCCTGCTGTGTGAAGGTGAGTTCATCATCAGTCAGAGGCTGTACAGACAAAGCATTCCCCCACAGTTTATCTCAGGGAACTACAGTGTCTAATAACAGATCAAAATAAACATCAGCCAGAGTTCTGCAAAAACAAAAAGCACTAACCATAAAAGAAAAAAGTGGATAAATCAGACCTTATCAAAAGCAAAACCTGCTCTGGATAACCGCATGTGAAAGACTCAAACTGGACCTGCACCTTTCACCAATTACAAAAATTGATTCAAGATGGATAAAAGATTTAAATCTAAGGCATAAAATTAAAATCCTAGAAGAAAGTGTGATGAAAACTCCTGAGGATGTCAGCCTGCAGAAAGATTTTAGGAAGACTTCCATGTCAATTGCAACAACAACAGAAATAAATAAATGAGACAATTAAACTACAAAGCTGCTGCATAGCTAAGGACACAGCAATCAATGCAAATAGACAACCTTCCGGATAGGAAAAGATATTTACATGTTATGAATCTGACAAAGGTTTGACAACTAGGATCTATAAAGAACTCAATCAACAAAAAAGGAGCAAACAATCCCATCTACCACTGGGCAAGAGACATGAACAGAACCTTCTCTGATGATGACAGACAAACGGCTAACAAACATGAAAAAAACGCTCATCATCCCAAGTCATCAGAGAAATGCAAATCAAAACCACCCTGAGACATCACCTAGTCCCAGTAAGATTAGCCCACATCACAAAGTCCCAAAGTTGCAGATGCTGGCGAAGACACAGAGAGAGTGGAACACTTTAACATTGTTGGTAGGACTGCAAACTAATACAGTCTCTTTGGAAAGAAGTACAAAGAATCCTCAAAGAACTCAAATTAGATCTCCCATTTGACCCCATAATCCCACTATTAGGCATCTACCCAGAAGAAAAAAACATCCTTTTATCATAAAGACTCTTGCACTAGATGGTTTATCGAAGCTCAATTTACAATCACCAAGATGTGGAAACAACCTAAATGTACATCAACTCAGGAATGGATTAACCAACTGTGGTATATGTATACCATGGAATACTATTCAGCCATACAAAAACATGGTGAATTTCAATCTTTTATATTAACCTGGATGGAGTTGAAACACATTCTTCTCAGTAAAAGTATCATAAGAATGGAAAAGCAAATATCCAATGTACTCCATACTAATATGAAGCCAGTAGGCAATCTTCATGCCCACATAGGAGAAAAACTCATTTCAATTGAAGTTGTGGGAAGGTGAGGGAGGGAGAATGGAGGATTTGGGGTGCTACCACTTAATGGGCACAATGTAGGGATATATATGGCACAACTTTTGGGTGCAGGACACAACTACAAGAGGGACCTTGTAGTTAAGAATTTGTTGTACCTAACAAATTCAAATATTGTGACCTGGTTGTTTGTACCAGCATATTGGCCTGATTTTTTTTTTTTAAAGTAAGCCCTTCTGTTCCTAAAAAGAAACTATTAAAGATGGTGTATTTGCCCATGAAAACATGCTCCAGATTATTAGTCATTAAGGAAACACAAATTAACATGACAATGAGATACTTCTACATAACCTATTTTAGAGTGGCTAAAATTTAAAAACTGACACTATCAAATGTTAACAAGGCCAGGCAGGGTGCCACACCTATAGCCCCAGCTACTCTGGAGGCTGAGGCAGGAAGATCGCTTGAAGCCAGGGAATAGTCACTACACTCCAGTCTAGGCAACACAGTGAGCCATGTCTCTAAAAGACAAAACAAAGTTACCAAAGGAGTTCTAGAAACTGACAATATTAGAATTTAAATTTTAGATGAGGTTCCATGATAGGTCACCAAGGAAAGTTACAAATACTTGATTATACGTAAGGCTTTCTGAGTTTATTCTCATTAACCTCAATATTTCATTCACAAATAAATTTAACTCAATAAAACTTTACCAAAAATGCATTACATTTAGAGACTACTGTAGGAATTAAATTGGCCCATTCTCTTTGAAGGGCAATTTGGAGATAGTTATTAAAATTTTAAATTTACGAGTGGCGCCTGTGGCTCAAAGGAGTAAGGCACTGGCCCCATATGCCAGAATTGGCAGGTTCGAACCCAGCCCTAGCCAAAGAAAAATTTAAATTTATATATCATTGATTGAGAAATTCACACACCTAGGAATTTATTCCTCAGACAAACTCCATGTATAAAAAAAGTATTTTACGGCTCGGCACCCATAGCATAGTGGGTTCGAACCTGGCCCGGGCCAGGTAAACAACAATGACAACTGCAACAAAAAAAATAGCCAGGCATTGTGACAGGCGCCTGTAGTCCCAGCTACTTAGGAGGCTGAGGCAGGAGAATCCCTTAAGCCCAAGAGTCTGAGGTTGCTGTGAGCTATAACACCATGGCACTCTACCAAGGGTAACATAGTGAGACTTTGTCAACAACAACAAAAAATTTTTTCCCCTCCAAATGAAGCCTCACAGCTAACAACAGCCTAACATTCCTGAATACTATTAAATATCCTTAAATTGTATCTATCATTAGATGATAGATGTATTACCATGAAAAGCTGGTATTTTCAAATGTTATCTATATATTGCTGACTTGGGCAGAACGTGTCAGTGTTGAGGCCTTAAATACTCTCTTCTAACCACTAGCTTTCTATCCTTCTACTCCAGTCTCACCTTACCAGTTCCTCGAGGCCCACCTTATTAAATACCTCACTGATCAGCCCAAGAAAATGGATCTCCTCTGTTAACTCCAATGCTGTCTGATACCATGGGAGGGTATAGGTAACAGGGAGGCCTCCTAGACAGGAGAGAAAGAACAAAATCTCCCTGAAGCGGAGCTCTCTGAAGAGGAGATGTGAATCACTATCTCAACCCTAATGATTATTTTGGATTCGTCTCGTTTGGTTATCTGTATAAAATTCCTCAAGATATTCTAAGTATGTTTCGATTTTAACTGACAAATAACAATCACATATATTTACAGGAACGATGTGATGTTTTGATAGATTGACACATTGTGGAATGATTAAGTCAAGCTAATAACACAAAATAAAATACATATATACATTTAGCTTCTTCAACTAGAGTGTAAGTTCCTGAAGAGAGGAATTTGACATTTTAAATCTCTGTGTCCTACAGGCCTAGCACAAGTACACAAAGGAAGTTCTTGGTAATTGCTAAATGTTTCATGTTTATTAGAGTACAAAGGAAATGTTGACACTGAGTCTTCTATAACTTCATAGAATTCTTATAGGAGATAAAGTATAGTTATACTCTTTACAAAATTTTTTTCCTTTATTGCCACAACTATGAAAATTTTTTTCAACTAAAATAGGTTTGAGGGCTCAGCACCTGTACCTCAGTGGTTAGGGTGCTGGCCACATATGCCAGGGCTGGTGGGTTTGAACCCAGCCCAGGCCTGCTAAACAACAATGACAAGTGCAACAAAAAAATAGCCAAGTAGTCCCAGCTACTTGGGAGGCTGAGGCAAGAGAAACTGCTTAAGCCCAAGAGTTGGAGGTTGCTTTGAGCTGTGATGCCACAGCACTCTACCCAGGGTGACATAGTGAGACTTTGCCCCCAAAAATAATAAATAAATAGGTGTGAGTTTTAGGGGTTGTTTTTAGTATTATTCTCCACTTGCAACATGAATAAAATTAAGAATTTTTAACTTCGGGAGACATCATTTTCCAGTAATTCCTCAAAAAGATGAACGAACACAAAGGGACAGAAAAGAGGCGCCCCATACATGTTCTTTAGGCCTTTTATAAAACATGGAGTTGGCTCGGCGCCTATAGCTCAGCTGGCTAAGGCGCCAGCCACGTACACCTAAGGTGGCGGGTTCGAATCCCCAGTCCGGAACCGCCAAACAACAATGATGGCTGCAACCAAAAAATAGCCGGGCGTTGTGGTGGGCGCCTGTGGTCCCAGCTACTTGGGAGGCGGAGGCAGGAGACTCGCTTGAGCCCAGGAGTTGGAGGTTGCTGTGAGCTGTAATGCCACGGCACTCTGCCCAGGGGGACAGCTTGAGGCTCTGTCTCAAAAAAAAAAAAAAAAAAAAAAAAAACATGGAGTTGTTCCTTTGGCCACTTACATGTGAATCTACAAGAAAGGTGATACGGTAGACATCAAGGGAATGGGTACTGTTCAAAAGGGCATGGCACACAAATGTTACCCTGGCAAAACTAAAAAAGTCTACAATGTTACCCAGCATGCTGTTGGCATTGTAGTAAACAGAAAGATTAAGGGCAAGATTCTTGCCAGAAGATGAATGTTCATATTGAGCACATTCAGCACTCTAAGACCCCAGATAGCTTCCTGAAATGTGTAAAGGAAAATGATCAGAAAAAGAAGGAAGCCAAAGAGAAAGGTGTACTTGGGTTCAACTGAAGCACCAGCCTGCTCCACCCAGAGAAGCCCACTTTGTGAGAACCAATGGAAAGGAGCCTGAGCTCCTGGAACCCATTCCCTATGAATTCATGGCATAATAAGCATATAACATAGCACACAGGAGTACCAGTGGACTCAT